ATTTAAGCTTTTTTTTTTTTTTCCTTGATCATGTCCTTAACTTTAACCTGTATCCACCAAAATGACTGCTCAGGTCAGATGTAGCCCTCCCCACCGGGGAGAGCAATTACTGAACAAAGCAACATTTTGGAAGAACCTTCAAGCACTTACCATTATAAAGGCAGGTCTGAGTGCCCAGCCCTAGAAGGAATCAGACAGAAACTAATTAATAAAACAGGAGCCACAGAGTAGATGAAAATCGGGCAGCTGGCTGAAGAACAACTGTATATTCTCTTCTCCCTTCTGGCTTAGCATTCATGAGAATTTTGGGTGGGGGCAGGTCTGCAAAATGCATTTGCTAAGATTTTTCTGTGCTTATCAATGTTGAGGATCAGGAAGGGAGGAGGCGGCTCCCAGCAGTGCAGCAGATGGCTACCATCCTGTGAAGGCTTTACTGGCCTGGTGGATAAGCTTTTTCCTTGCTGTTTATTTTGTTAAGTTATTAATTTTTCCTTACCTTTCTCTTCTGACCCCCCGATCAGATCAGTTATACAAGTTTTTGCCTCAGATCATTCTGAAACTAGTTGGAAGGTAATGGAGTAGCATCACTAGACCTGGCAGGTTTCTGAAGCATTAATAATCCGAAGTTGTATGTTCTTTACTTGATTAATGTGCACATGAACCATGATTGACCTGTGGTCTTGTGACTGGACTGGAATGTGTAATTTTAAAACCAAAGACTAATTAAAGATAGGTATTTCCGTTGGAATTTTTTAATTGGACTGTTGAAGGCCTTGTCCATTTTCAGAATTCCTTATGGTGGAATTCTTACAGAGATATTAAGAAGATCTTAAATCGTTATCTGGCATCCTGTTTGTCAAAACTTTCAGCCAGACAAGAACATTTCCAAAGCCTACTGTTTCAGTTAATGACATCGCCTTCCTCAGAACATCATCTGGGTGCAGCATGCTGCCACCTCCTGCAGTTGTTCGCCAGCCCTCACCCTGATTTCACCTGAGCACACTGGCCTTTTGTCCTCACTGGTAACCCTCTAGCCTAGAGCCACATCTCCCTTCCCTGGACCCTGGCCCATTTCCTCCTCCAGGGGAAGCCTCCTCTTTCACAAGTACTAAGGTGGCCCCAACAGTTCCTTTCTGTAAACCTACAAAGGCTTCTGTTGTCTGCAGAATAGAATTCAACTAGCCAGGCATGGTGCACGCCTGTAGTCCCAGCTACTCAGGATGCTGAGGTAGGAGGATCTCTCGAGGTCGGGAAATCAAGGTTACAGTGAGCCGTGGTCACACCTCTACACTCTAGCCTGGGCAACAGAGTGAGACCTTGTCTCGAAAAAAAAAAAATGGGATTCAAACTTTATGGAAGGGGACAGAAGCCTGTCTCCAGGTTCACCCCAGGCTGTCTTTTTACCCTCAAACACCAGCTCCGTGCTTCTGTTTGCACACCAGCCATGGCAGACTCCCCATGTTAGCTGCCCAGCACAGCCTTCTCTGCCTCTGATCCATTGATTCGTGGTTCATCCTCACCAGTGATAACCCTCCTCTTAGCCTACCTAGATCCTCCCATGGGCCCTGTGGCACTAAAACTCACTCTCCCATGAACTCTTCCTGATCTGCCCTGTCAGAATCAGTCTCCCTACCCCTCACCTTGGTGTTCCCACTGCACTTTGTTTATACCAACATTAAAACAGTAACTTTATTTTCATCTTTTTTTTGCCTTTTCCTTTTGATATCTGTAGAAGCCTCTTTCTCATTTGTAAGCTCTGGAAAGCAGGACCTCTGTCTCATTTGGGTTTGTAACTTTCATTCCATAACCCAGCACTTTCTAGGAGATATGTTATTGTTAAAATGGCAGCATTAATGTCATGCAGAACAGTGACTCTTAAACACTGCAGAGCCCTGGGTAAAGTAATTTGTGCCCATCACAATTTTACTAAATTGGATATATTTTAGGGTGTTCAGAATAATCCATAGATTCAACAAATATTTATTGAGCATCTACTATGTTCTGGATTCTAGTAGGGATACCCCAGAAGACAGAGGGCCTCAGTTCTCATAGAACTTAACATTCTGTGGGAAGGAGATCAATAATAAAAAGTAAATAGTTTTAGATAGACAGTAAAATGTTCCATGAAGAAAACAAAGCAACGTTTAGGGTACAAGCAGCTCTGTTAAATAGGGTGATCAGAGAAGCCTCTCTGAGGACTTGTGAGCAGACCTAAATATTGAGAAAGATGCTGCTAGAAAAGGACCTAGTGCACGATGTGTCACACTGAAGTGAGAACAGGAGGCACTAATGAGGTCAGCATCTTCAAGGAAAAGAAAGAAAGTCTGTGCAGTTGGAGCATAGAATGCCAGTGGCAGAAGAGTGGGAGACTGTGACCAGGTCATGGAGGTGAACATGGGAAGTCTGTACTGAAATATCAGTAACTGATGTCTACCATGTTGTGAAACTGTTTGTCATGAAGGGTTGTGAGTACACTAAAGAATAGAATTGACTGCATTTGGTTTTATGACCGCTTTCAATCCAAATGGGAGTGTTCTGCACTCAGAAAACAATAGAATCACAAGGTCACTGTTAGGTACATTGAGGGAGTGCTGGCACGTTCATTCTTAATGAATTTTCTTGAAAGCACAGCCATGGCAGTTGCATAATGGAACCTTGGGAACTCATCAGTCATCCTCTGCCCCATTTTGCTCAGTTTCCCTAGTATTTCTCACTCTTCTCCATACCGTCAAGCCACTGAGACAGTCACTTGCTGAACCTCGTCTTCACTTGTCACACTGACCGATTCTGCATGAGTGCTCTGATTCGTTTCATTGGCAGTCTCATGCACTCACACAGGTGTCCAGAAGAACTTACAAAACTCTTTGTAACCCTGTGCTTTTGAGAGATCTAATCATGGTATGTGGAAATGTGATAAGCTAGTTGAATCTCTAAACTCTGGAGTGTGAAGAAAAGTCTACTCAAGAAATGACATCTGTGGAGTGCCCATATGGCGCCAGGTGTTTTGTTGGACATTTTTTGCACATTATCCCATGCAGTCTTCATGCAGGCTTATTATCAGCTCCACTGTTAGATGAAGCAGCAGGTTCAGAGTCTTTAACACATGTGGTAAACACACAGTCCAAAATCACACAACTGGTAAGTGGACACCAAAGTCCATTCTTTTTCCATTTAAGACTGTGTTTTAGTGGTTAAGAGTACGGGCTCCTGGGGCCACACTGCCATCGGGTGTGAATCCAGGTAAGTTTGGGCAAGTTTATTTACTGTCTCTGTGCTTTATTTTTCTCAGCTGAAAAACAGGATCTAATAGTACTTTCCTGGTAAGATTATTAAAATGATTAATTGGCTAACATACACGTAAAGCAGTTAGCATGCTGCCTGGCCCTAGTAGTAAGCACTAGGTATGGGTTTGTCTTTATTATTTCCACTGTACCATGCTACCTTTTTAAAAACCTTAGCATTTCTGTAACATAGCACAACACACAGCCAGACAGAAGAGAAAAGTGAAGTCTAGAGAAGTGTCTTGACCAAGATCACATAACCACTTAAGAGCTGAGGCAACACGCCTTCACTGTGTATTCCTGTCCCCCTTTTTTTTTTCTTTCTTTATGCATGTACACTGACTCCACACTCATAGCCTCTCTGCCATACAAGCTCTTCATCCTGCCTAGCCCCAGCCTCTGCTGCTCCCGCTCCCCTCCCATCTCCACACTCTTCCATGTTGAAGTCTACTTACATGGTGCAGTGACTGCAGTTGTGGGTGCCTGGCTGGGAAAGAGAAATGGTAGGGCTCTTGATTGCTTGCAGTCTTCATGCCTAACCACAGCTCTGAGCATCTGTGTTGACTTGAGCGCATGTGTGGGTGTGTGGGTGTGTGGGTGTGTGTGTGTGCACGCGCCCAGTGCCTTTGAGGACCTGTATGCTTCCTGTTCCATTTCTCTCCCTATTTTTTCTTTTTTTTTTTTTTTTTTTTTTTTAGATGGAGTCTCGCTCTGTCTCACTGGCTAGAGTGCAGTGGCGAGATCTCGGCTCACTGCCAGCTCCACCTCCCAGGTTCACGCCATTCTCCTGCCTCAGCCTCCCGAGTAGCTGGGACTACAGGTGCCCGCCACCACGCCCAGCTTATTTTTTGTATTTTTAGTAGACATGGGGTTTCACCGTGTTAGCCAGGATGGTCTCAATCTTCTGACCTCGTGATCCGCCCGTCACAGCCTCCCAAAGTGCTGGGATTACAGGCGTGAGCCACCGCACCCGGCCTCTCTCCCTCTGACATGGAAGGAGCTGGGTATCTTAGTTTTTGCTTATTTTGTTTTGTTTTTGGGAGAAGGGGCATTGGAGCCTTGAAAGAAATACAGGGAGGGCCACAGAAGAAGAGGGAGAGAGAAGTGGGACCCCTCAAAGGCACTGAGCTCTAGTACTTTAAGTACCTACAAGATTTGCAGTGGGGGAGGTGCGGCATCGTTTGCTACATAAAGGAGTTTTTCCCCATATATATATTTTTTTTAAGTATAGGGCTAATAAAGCAGTATTAAGCCATACTGCAGTGTGCAATTTTACAGAAAAGATGTTGGGAACTTCCTTTAGAGTGCTCTCTAATTTTCTGATGCATGGGGGGGCGGGGGTGAAATGCCTCTTCCTACTAAATTTGAATCAATTCTTTTCAAAAAGGCTCTAACCATTTTCAAGAATTAACAATAATGCCTTACATTTGAAACATTTTTTGTGTTTCTCAAAGCACTGCCAATTACATTATCTTATTTAACCTCCACATTAACCTTTTCAGGTGGGCAGAGCAGATATTACTGTCCCCATGTTACATGAGGAGAAATTTGAAGCCCAGGAACTGAAGGGAAAGTAGCTAAATGACACAGCTATGACTAGACCCAGGCCTTACCTTTTCATTCTACTACAGCATATTGACTTTTTGGTTTTGTTAGCTCAAAATTAGGGAGAATGATACTTGCATTGGGATCAGTAACAGTGATGCATACTTCTTACAGGTCCAGTTATCTTTTGACTGCCACATATGGACCCCAAAATATCTCAAAAGGAAACTGTCCTCATTACAGGAGGTGGTGGCTATTTTGGTTTTCGGTAAGTATGTCTATAAAATATACACATGGAATTATTTTACTAGTAGTTGCCAGAAGCTTTCAATTCTGACAACAGAGTAGACTTTTACTTGTTTGTATAATGTCAAACTAGAAATGAACTGTGTTGCCCACTGCTCAGATACTGCAGTTGAGAACTACAGGTATATTTCACTTTAAGAAAAATTCTTTATAAAGCTGTGAAATTGGGAGGGATGACTATTCACATCACCAAAAACAATTTTAAATCATAGCTGTTCTTTCACAGTTATGTTATTATTCTCAAATATTCCAAAGAATAGATAGTGGGCCCTAGAACCAAAGGGAAAAAAATGCCACCATTCTTTGAAGATAAAGCCTCTCTCTTTGTAATTTAAGTAGATGAGAGGATTCTCACTTTTGAAAATTTGAAGAAGTGAACCTTGCACCAAAGAACACGCATAGTGAGGGGCTCAGGATGAGCCAAGAAGACTTGGATCAGCCCCAACTTGACTGGTAAATTAGTTTATACACTTCCCCTAGGCACAGCTTAAGAGTAACTTGATGCAACGTTTACCGTTTCTCATTTCAGCCTGGGCTGTGCTCTGAACCAAAAGGGAGTCCACGTGATTCTGTTTGACATCAGCAGCCCTGCTGAAACTATTCCAGAAGGAATCAGGTTTATACAAGGAGACATCCGCCACCTGTCTGACATAGAGAAAGCCTTCCAGGATGCAGACGTCACTTGTGTGTTCCATATTGCCTCTTACGGTATGTCAGGGCGGGAGCAACTCAATCGAAACCTGATCGAAGAAGTCAACGTTGGGGGCACAGACAACATCCTCCAGGCTTGCCAAAGGAGAAGGGTGCCCAGGTTAGTTTACACCAGCACTTTCAATGTCATCTTTGGAGGTCAAGTTATCAGAAATGGGGATGAATCTCTGCCCTACCTGCCTCTTCACCTCCACCCTGATCACTACTCTCGGACAAAGTCTATTGCAGAGAAGAAGGTGCTAGAGGCGAATGGTACACCCCTGGACAGAGGCGATGATGTCTTAAGAACCTGCGCTCTGAGGCCAGCTGGCATCTATGGGCCTGGAGAACAAAGACACCTTCCCAGAATAGTCAGCTACATCGAGAAGGGTCTGTTCAAGTTTGTCTACGGGGACCCGAGGAGCCTGGTTGAGTTTGTCCACGTGGATAACTTGGTGCAGGCTCACATTCTGGCCTCAGAAGCCCTGAGAGCTGACAAGGGCCATATTGCCTCTGGGCAGCCCTACTTCATCTCAGATGGCAGACCTGTGAACAACTTTGAGTTCTTCCGGCCTCTGGTGGAGGGCCTGGGCTACGCGTTCCCATCTACCCGCCTGCCATTGACCTTGGTCTACTGCTTTGCTTTTCTAACAGAGATGGTTCACTTCATTTTGGGTCGACTCTACAACTTCCAGCCCTTCCTCACTCGCACTGAAGTTTACAAAACTGGTGTCACACATTATTTTAGCTTAGAGAAAGCCAAGAAAGAGCTAGGTTATGAGGCTCAGCCATTTGACCTCCAGGAAGCAGTGGAATGGTTTAAAGCCCATGGTCATGGCAGAAGTTCTGGAAGTCATGACTCAGAGTGTTTTGTTTGGGATGGGCTATTGGTCTTCCTCCTGATTATAGCAGTTCTCATCTGGCTGCCTTCTTCTGTGATTCTGTCACTGTGAGGAAGGGGCCAGAAATAAGGTGATCACAGTTGGCCGAGATGGTTCTCAAGAAACATGGGTTTTAAAATGTGTACAGTGATATCTGTTACCAAACATTGGCTCTTCAAATTGCTACTTATGAATAGGTTCTTGGATTGAATCTTTATTTCTTACTTCCTTGCACTAAGCCAGATGGGAATGGAAAAAAAGAAGCAGAGATTAGTTTGAAATTTCATTTCTTATGTCCTTCTGTTTTAGGTGGGTAAAATAGAAGTCAGTTTGGAGCCATAGAAGTAGGCTTAGTTGGGTTGGGGATGTCTGTCGTGAATTTCTTAGAAGGCAAGATATACTTATTTCCGTTTTATGCACTCTGCATCTACCTAAAACCTCTGACTGATGTGGGAATGGCAAAACACTATCAGGCTTGAAAGCATGTGAAAAACACCAAATTGGCCCAGATGCCTAACAGAGCAATCCTCGAGGGGTTGGTGGCTATTGCTGGAGAGGTATTAGCTATTCACAGTGTCCATTTTAGGTGTTAACTTTCACCCTTTGTGATATCGGGCATTATGCCTATGTGAACACATGGTAATGTCTGATGTTTAGGCCTTTATCCTACCTCATAGGATTCTTTTGAGGATTAAATTAAAGCATACAAAGTGCTCCTTAACACACATAGCCATTCTTTTTATCAGAATTGTCATGGTACATTCCTTATGAGGGCTTTCTTCCTCAGTGTTCTCTTTAGAGGGCTGTTATTACTGGACTTTCTGGAATGTCTGGGTGTGCCCTCAGAGCCTGCAACAAGTGTATTTGGATATACTCTAAAGTTTTGGCCTCCAAGAAGGCGAAAAGGAAGCAACTAAAAATCTGATGATTAAGGGAGTCAATCAAGCTGATGCCATTTTTAGTTTAAAAAATGAAGCATAGCTCTAAACTCATAGACTGGTTTTCTTACTGGGAAGAAGTTTGCCTCTCTGAAGACAGCTTCCAGTGAGGAATGTGTTGAACAGTGGCAGCACTGTCTGGCCACCCACGAACTGTTACCGATGATCCAGTTACACTGCTGCATAGGAATCCAAGTGGAAAGAAGACAGAGTCCATGTGGAAATCCAGAGTCCATGTGGAAGTCCAGAGTCCATGTGGAATCCAAGTAGAAAGAAGACAGAGCCATGTCTGTCCATGGCTCCAGCTACAGAAAGGGTAACATGAGAACATTACAAGGGGGACACATTACTTTGGAAAGTTCTGCTAGAGTTACTCTGAGAGTACCTACAAATAGATGAGAAATCCCTGTTGAATGCTGCCTGGATGTTTTCAGAAAAGCTCTGAACTTGATGTCAGAACACCGACACCATGAATATCATGTGTGGCCTTAACCAAGGAACAGAAGCCCTTTAGAACTTAGCTTCCTCACTCGGGACCTGGGACTGACTGCATTTGCCCTTTCTATAAACCCACCCACCTCATAGGGTTCATTGGGAGCATAAAGCAAGATGTGGTGAAAGTACTTTTAATATAAATTGCAACATCAATATGAGGTGATGGTAGTGGTTGTTTTTAGGAACATGTGTTTGGAGTCTTTTCTATCATAAAGAAGCTTTTGCATTAGCCTGAGGTTAACGCATATGAGCACCTGCCGTGTATTGTTCTAGAACTGCTTGAATATCCTCATCAAGTGACAAGTGGTTTCCCCAGAGCAGGTCATCCAAGACAGCAGGGTGGAAGCTGCATTGTCCTTTATGACTTGGCCTCAAATGTCACAGTGTCATTCCACAGTATATTGGTTATGCAGGTCAATCCTATCCGGTAGGGGAAGGAAATACACAAAGATATTTCCGTATTTTACCAGAAGATGGAGATGGTCAAAGGCAATCTTGGAGGCTGGGCTCTTGGCCTTATATGAGTCATCCTTCCTTTTCCATGAAAGGTTGCCCACATTTCTAGCTACATAGCTTTCTCTGCCTGCTTCCTGCCAGAAGGATTTTAGGGGCCAAACGGCTTTGTTAACATTTTGCACTATATTCCTTTCCATTGAAGCTGGCAGTGGTGCTGGGAACATTATTTTGAATGTGTCACCTGAGTTTTATTGCAGTTCACTCACAAAAGCCACACCCACAAATCTCTGAGGTAAGTCCTCCACCATGAGCTTCTGCTCAGACTGCCAAGGGACAATACGCTGTGCTTCTTAGAAGCCTTATTGTCTGAACAGCTCTCTGGGGTGCCACACCAGGCCTTTCTGAGATCTTAAAAAGATACTATACTCAAGCCACAGCCATGCATTGTCATTTCCACGATCTCATGTATTTACACAGGTTAGCCATATTCAGTGTGGGAGGAGACTACACAAGGACATGAATACCAGGAGGTGGTGTCATTAGAGGCCAGCGTGGAATCTGGCTGCCACTTTCCTGCTTCCGTATCTCCCCAATTCTGTTACTATCTCCCACTGCAGCTTGAAATGGTAGATTTTCTCAGTGCTCATTCCTCTGCCCTGTTCTAATACTATACTTTCTCCCTAGGTGAGCTCACCTAAGCCCATGGCCTCCATTTCCATCTCTAACCCAAATATGTACTACTAGATGCACAGTTTCAGACCATTCTTGGGCTCCAGACTCATATCTAGTACTTCTGCAACTCCACGTGGATGTCCCACATGCACCTGTCAGCCAGTGTAGCCAAAGTAGAATTCATAATCCTCTCCCACCCCAAATTCTTATAGGGCTCCCTTCCTTAGTAAATATCTCCACTACCCACTGAATTTCCCATCCCAGAGATCTGGGATCATCCCTGACCCCTGCCTCTCCTAAACTTGACACACCTAACCCATGTTTAAACCAGTTGATTTTTACTTGGAATCATGCCCTAAAACTGCCCAAGGTATAGGTGTACCTTCTCTCCCATAGATTCAATAGTAGCCCATTTGCTCTTCCACCCATATCCACACCCACCTTCAGTCCATTCTCCACATGCCTAGCCGAGAAAATCTGTAAAGGTGCAAATATTTTGTCACTTCTCTGCTGAAAACTCTGGTTAGGTCGAGAATCTTTAACATGACCAAGAGGCCTTGTCTGAACTGGCCCCTTGCCTATCTCTCTACCTTCATCTCACATTATTCTGCCTTGTCTGCCCCAATTACACTGACTTTTTATAGGTTCCTGGGCTCCAAGCTTCTCAGGATCCCTGCTCCTCCTTTTGGCCTGAATGATGTTTATTTCGTGTCTCTTGTTAAGTCTTCTGGAGGCCTTCCCTGGTCCCAGCAATTTAGGATTGGTCCTCCTGCTACAAATGATGCTACAAGCTCTCATAGCTTCCTGCCTTTCTTTTACAGCATTGCTCATAACTGTAAACATTTGTACAATTATTTGATTAATGCCTGTTAGCTCTATGAGGGTGAGAACTTTGTCTTGCTTACTGCTCTACTCCTAATGCCTGGCACAGTGCAGGAGTTCAATGAGTATTTGTCCAATGAATGCTGTTTTCCCATCTGCTATGGATGAACACTCTTTTCTAGCACACAGATAACTCACTGTTTCTAATCTTTTGGAGAGTGGGGAAAATAGCCAACCTACACCAGAATTGTGGTAACTAAGTCAAGATTAGATGAGGTCTAGTAAGTAAGGGAAGTCATTGCCTATATGATGCAATGACTAGGCCAGGGAATGGGGGAGGAATGTGGGCCAAGTGATTTGTGCTGCCTCCACATCTCAGCTGAAAACTCACCACTTTAAAAGACTTAGTCTGTTTCCTGAAAGGGAGCTCCCCTTCCCTTCTATGGTCAGGAGACGCTGCAGTTAAGAAATTTCGTTAGTTCTAGGGTTCCCAGCTGCCCTCACCTTACCTCAACCGTAGATTGAATCACTCTGCCCTGCCTAACACAATAAAAGTATGCTCATACTTGTGTACCTGGGGATGCTCGCAGAGGCCTGGGCAGAAGCCACCCGGCACTGCTACCTCACCCGTGGCTTCTGAGGAGTGCGTGGGAGGTTATCCATATGGTTGATGGAGGGTCACAATGGAGGAAGGATGTCTGAGCAACAAGGAGCCCTGCATTGGAACCTAAAGGTAATGCCCAAACTGCTCCCACCTGCAAAAAGAAAAGAGGAGTCTGGAAAGCCTGTTGGAAATACTTGTTGGACGTCCTCAGTGCTGTTTCCAGTGTCAGGGGCAGAAAGTGCCACGTTATGAGCAGTGACAGTTAGTGGTGGGTCAAACAGCTCATTCTGGCACCAAATTACCTGTGCTGTGGTGTTTCTCAAGCCTAGGGAATAGACCTCAGGATTCTTTTCAAGAAAATGTTTTATTTTCCTCAACCACCTAACATGGTGTATAAAAGAGGCACGTGTTGCTTTGTCGTAGATTGTTGGGGCTGCTTCTACCTTGTATTGCTCTCCAAATCTCCGGTTCACGCAGTCTTACAAAGACAGGGTAGAAGTTGCCTGCAGAATGCCATGCCCCAGCTCTGACCCAATTAGACATCATTATAGGGACACTGGTGCCCCTGCTGGCTGGCCTTGGAAGCCAGCACCAGCAATGTTATTAAAATTTTCCCCAGCATCTCTTGCTTTAGAGATGGCACGCCAGGTTGTGTGCTGTTCACCAGCATCTCTCACTTTAGAGAATGATACCCCATGCTCCTTTTTGATGACAAAAAGTCCCTTCCAGTCCTTTCATGGGACTGACCTCCATATGCAGGCCTGACCACTCACAAGAGTTTCAGCCTTCCGGCCGCAGTCATTGGGCCACGATGGGCCAGTCAGCGTCATCTTTTCAGCCTTTCTCTCAGAGCAGGTTAAGAGAAACCCTTTCCGCTAGAATTGCTTCAGAGGACAGGCGCTTGGTGCTGCTCCTCTTCAGGGTCCTCCTACCTGAAGGAGAGGACCGAGCGCTGATAATATTTGGGCTGCTGGGTCCAGCTGTGTGTTAAGAAGAGCCAAGAAATGGAGAGGGAGGAGGTCCTGGTGACTACCTGGGTTCTGTAACGCTGCCTGCTGGGCACTCATCTTTCCAGGTCGTCCTCTCACGTGAGTCTCAGTTCACTTTCTTTTCTGCTTAAGGCCCTTTAAGTTCAATTTTTCTCCAGGAATCACAGCATGTCCTGGTGTGCCATGTCCACAGGCCACTCCTGGGTACAGGTGATCCTACCCTGTGGTTTCCCAAGGCAGCCTCTCCACTCACCTCTGTGCCCTCTTTCTTTCAAAGAAGGGGGGTCGTCTTCTGGTCCCTGGGTAATTTAACATTTGCCGGAGTTTTTCTTACAAAATGAGATTGATTTCCTTTTCTAGAATCATGTTTATTTGAATTATGTTTACTCAAATCATGTATATTTGGACCCAACATACCTTTAAGTAATGTAGTTCAAACTCTTGTTTTATATGAAAATTGTTTGATGAAGTGATTTGCTCCCCAGAACATAAACGCCCCATAAGAGGAGGAATCATGTCTGTTTCTTCTACTTCTATACCCTTCGTTTGCCCAGTAAATGCTTGTTGACTGCATTCAAATGCTTGTTGAATGCACTTATCAGCCAGGTGGTCTGTTATCTGAGAATTCAGCTGATTCCCCAGTTGTTGCTTCCTTTACACCTGAGACTCCCAGCCTGAGCCAATAAGAACATTCAAGGCCTAAATTAACAATGCAGACTCCAGAAGGGTGACATCATGTAAAATGACCCTTTCACTGTAACAACCGGAAAAGCAGGGGGACAGGAGAATGATCGGAACCAATGATTTCAGGAACTCCTTACGTCTATTTTACCTCGATACACGTACACAGATTCCAGACTCTTCGCTGGCGCTTCTGATTGAGAAAGTCTGTGTTGGCTGGTAATCTGCACTCTAGGTGTTTCTTATCTTTCAACAAGGAGCTGAACACTGCTGCCAGATACTAAACACTGGCTCCCTTGCAAGATGCGGAGAGGCTCCTGACTTCTGCTTGGCTCTTCGCTTTGCAGTGCTTTGCTACAGCCGGTGCTCAGCACATCATTGCTAAATGAAGGGGGAGATGGGACTCGCCAAAGGGCCTTGGATTCAAGTGACCCCCCGCCTACTCCTTTATGCAGGGCCCAGTTTGTTGTTGACACTGACAAGCACTGCCACATCCCAGCGCTGACTTTTCCAGCCGAACTAGAGTCTCTTTTTCTTGAGCCAAAGGAATTCTTTGGCAACGCATCTTGTTGTGCCTGGTTACCTGATCTTTTAGTACAAAACAGCCTTTTGCTATTGAAAATCAAACCAGAAATAGAGTCAACCAGTCCATGGTATCTCTAAGCTGTGCAAATTCATACCATATTACCCTTCTGTATGAGAACCTGGGCACACCAGGAACTCATTGAACTCAAGTTGAGTTCATAATTGCTTGAGTTCATTGAACTGAGTTCATAATTACTTGAGTTCAATGAACTCAAGTAATTATGACTGAGGCCAAATCTAGTTCACTACAAAGAAATTGCATGTAGCAAAGTGATCCAGGCAAGTGTCTTTCAACCAACAGGGAATTTATCGGCAGTAATTCACAATGTTTATTTTTAACAGCTGGTTA